AATACAATTTGAATGCTGTAAGAAAGGAAACGTTAGGATGTGAATTTTTCATTTCAAAACCTAATTTAGCTGAAATCATTTTAAAATGTATAGTATATATCTGAGCAGTATGACTATGAGGGCAAGTGGGTTGGCACAGATGAGGGGAACACTGACATTAGAGCACCTGCCTTAGCTTTCCTTTCCCCAACAGCCTCTCCAGAAATTGAGGAAGCCTAGCTTTCACCAGTGCTCAACCTATGGCCGACATGGCTTTATAAGGAATTGCAGCCCCCTCTCCCCTAAGAATTGTGTTTGTGTGGCCTTTTTCTAGATAGTGTATAAGGCTCATATTAGTTGTGGAAAACCATTTTCCTGAAAAAGAGGATGCTATGGTAGGAGAAAAATAAATGCAGGTGTATACCAGACTAGAACGACAGATGAAGGGAGATGTCCGTGGTCCAGACCACACTAGAATTCTGGATGAAGGAAGATGTCCATGGTCCAGACCACACTAGAATTCTGGGTGAAGAAAGCTGCACCACTATATACAATCTTCCATTTAACAGGTAAAAGAATCCTCAAAAACATATGCCACATGAAGAAAGCTACAAGAAAAATCAGCTCATATTTAACATGAGTTATTTTGTCTTCCCCTTACAGTCATTGAAACCAATCTTCTATTCCATCAGTCATCTTTTCTTAATCATTAGTCAATCATTTTATTTCTGTGCCAATGCAGCTTCTAAATCACATTGTGAAATGCTTTGCTATGGCAAAATAGCTGAAGCTATTAGAAATAAATGTTACCATGAAAAGCCCCATGGACACTGATACTAAGCCATCCATCCAAGAAATAGAGCTTGGGCTGCACATAACATTTAATACTCTTTTTCCTGAGACATTTGGTATATTGAAAAATAGGTAAAGAAAAAATCTTTCCATCTTATATATAGCCCTGTATGAGTCATTTTTTTGTGAAATGTGTGTCTTCAGAAACCTATCATATTATAAAAGTTTTGTGGTATCAAGATGAAAAAGGATATTGGAAATCTTACATTTGCCCTGCTAGTAAATAAGTCATTTAGTAACAAAAAGATGATGTACTGTACATAACAGGAGAGACAGATGACGGCAAAGAAGACTTTAATTTTAATTTTTCAAGTAATTCAGCTTTATTTTTCTTATATAATTTTCCAATTAAAAGCAATTTAACTGTGATATTTGAAGGTTTACAAATCACTGGTATGACTAATAAAAATTTTAAAGTTGCCTTTTTTACATCAGAAATGAGGAAGTCATTTCTGAGTATATATAGAAAAATTAATGGGCCTAGTATGGACTTATATGTATTTGATAATATTATATGCTGAATGATAATTTTTATATAGCAACTTTTCCTCACAAACAGGGTCTCATAAATCCCAGGATGGTTTTGAACTTGCTAAGAAGCCAAAGATGACCTTGAACTTCTGATCCTGTAATATTGGAATAACACATGTATATCAATATACCTAGTTATGTTGTGTTAAGAATAGGGCACTATACATGCCAGGCTAATAGAGCTATGACTCCAGCCATATAATAGTTAATTTTAAGCTTAATTCTATTATGGGCCTTCACAATTCTTTAATTTAATGATGAAGCAAAATTTCCTACTAAAAATGTTCTTAAAAAATCCCCAAATTCCAATAGTTTACAGAAATTAGCATTTGTTTCACTCACAAGAATGCCAAACCAGTCATTCTACATTCAGAGGTTTACCTCATATATCTCTGTATGGAGAAACGAGGATGCTTGATGCTGTCCTTTCATCCCAGGAAGCTGATGCCTGGCTTCAGGAATGCATATTTATTCTAGACAGAGATTTGCTCACAGTGTTTTCTCTGCTCAGCTTTCATGGTCTTACAGAGCCCTAGGCCTCTTTATTTGAAGTCCCACTCAGCATTGTGTCATAGGAAACTGTTGTGAGAAAAAGGCGTTTACTCATCTTTCCACGTGCCTTTGATTGTGGGATTCTGCAATTAGCAAATGTTTATCTTTCAGAGCCAGAACTCATGGTTCAGAGAACCAAGAGGCAGATGTCTCTTTTGACTAACGCATTTCCTTTTCTGTTTAAAATTCTTGCTTCCCATGGTTGTAGCTTTGACTTTACTTATAGTCATCTCATTTCCAAAGAACTAAAAGGAATGTACCAACTAAGGTCAACATTTTTTAACCAAAAAAGTAAGTGCTTGATATTTGACCATTACCTCTGACACAAATCCAACCTCCCGAAATAAATTTTGTTATGCAAAACATTCCAAGTTGGATATCCAGCTACAGTGTAGGTGTGTATTTCTGAAATACCTTCCAGTCTTTTCTACAGTATCACTTTAGAAGACAGGTTTACGGACATTGTGAGCTATTCATCATTTTTTCATGCTATAACTATTACAGAAAAGAGTGATAATTTGATTAGAAATTCCTTTTGACCATCCACCTGGAGAGACCAGGCAGCTGCTACATACTGAGCACAGAGAGGAGTCTCTGAATTACCCTATAGCATGCACATTCTGTGGAATTTAAACACGCACAAAACGAATGAATCCTTGATTTCCTAGAGTAAATGTATGAGACTACCAAGTTGGTTAAGTGTGACACTGGCTGAGGTCAAAGGAAAATCAATGAATAATGAGACACATTGTAAACAGTTTTATTTGAGTACCTTTTCAGAAATAATGAATCGAGAAAACCTTGCACACACTGGTTTCCACATTATAGCTCTATTATTTTAAACAAGGGTTGGTGATGGCAGCTAGGGGGTTTTACACACTTATTATGCCATAGATAAGTTCAGCTGTAGCCGAGCAAATAGAAACCGAACCTAACCAGCAGATTACAAGTTATGCTGATGCTCCTATGTCTTCTTTGCTTGTGTGAGGAGTGTGTGAATATATCTCTATTTCAGAAAGTATTAGTATGAGATGGTCGATCTAGTTCCTAGCCATAAAAAGGAATGTCCACAGATCCTGTAATCACAAAGGTAAGTGCTTGATATTTGACCATTAACTCTGACACAAATCCAACCCAAAATAAATTTTGTTATGCATAACGTCCCAAGTTGGACATACAGCTACAGTGTAGGTGTGTATTTTGGAGATGCCTTCCAATACTTGCTAACAGAATCACTTTAGAAGGCAGAACTGAGAAAGGACTCTTGCAATTTCTCAGCAGGATTTAAATAGCAATGATAAGATATTGACTGGTTTTCATTTCCTAGCTCTCAAAACTAACTTGTTTGCTCCTTCAGGGGTATGAGTTGCAGCCAACTCCTCCCAGCAGGAGGCCATATCCCTATCTGCATTCTTTTCTTATAGTTCCTGAGTTACAAACAGACACCCTATGATGGACATTTATTGATGTTTGATTTCTTATAACCCCTACTGCTTTGATTCTTCACAGAACTAGAAAAAAAAAAACATCCTGAATGAGGTAATCCAGACTCAGAAAGACAAACATGATATGTACTGACTAATAAGTGGACATTAAGAGTAAAGAACAATCACTCTAATTCCACAGTGTCAGAGATGCTAAGTAACAAGGAGGGCTTTAAGGAGACACATAAATCTCCCTGGGGAGGGAGAATAGAAGCAATCTTGCAACTAGACTGAAGGTAGATGGGGATGGAAATGGGAGGGATCAGATGTGGGAGGTGTGGAGAGAGACACTTTGGGGAGAGACTGGAATTGGGGACATTGGGAGGGTGATGTCAGTGGAATCTACAATAGTGACCCTCAGGAGGACTGCTAGTAATAGAAGATATAGAGGCTAAACCAGCCGTCTTCTGTAACCAGGTAAGGCTTTCAATGATGGGACTGCAACACCAACCCAGCCACAAAATTGTTGTCGGGACTTGATCAGTTTAGCCAATGACATTTGGGAACTATTAGTGTGGTGTTCTCTGGAGGCATGACCAGATAAGATGGATGAGAAAGGTTGCAATACTATCTTGGGTGTCAGAGCCTAGGCAAGCCTTGTGGCTGGTCTTGATAAGCCTTGGAAAAGCGAAGATTCAGCAGCAGTTCTATCAGTATCTGCCTTGTTTGATATTTGTGAGTTTGATTTTCATTGGACCTCTTAATAAATTGTTATATAGACTTATATTATGGGGTTCTCATTTCACAACAACCTTTGACCCATGTCTACCTTGGCTGCAAAAAAAAAGTGCTGGAGAAATGACAGCTAAGAATCTGTGGGTTTGGCCAACCAATGTCTGGTCCAATGTGAGGCCCATGCCATGAGAGGAAGCCCATGCCTGACACTGCCTATATGGCCAGGAACTGGAGGCTGGATAGCCCAGAGACATAGGGGTAAAACCAAACATGATTGACAAAAGAAAAACAAACAAACAACAAAACAACAACAATAACAAAAAAAAATGATGTGATTCTTTATGATATTCTTCTATACTCATAGATTGGTGGCTAGTCCAATTGTCATCAGAGAGGCTTCCTCCAGCAGCTTATGGGAACAGATGCAGAGACACACACCCAAACATTCAAAAATTAAGTGGAGCTCAGGGAACCCCTTGGAAGAGGGGGAGAAGGATTGTAGGAGCCAGAGGGATCCAGAACATAGCCCATAGAGTCAGATAAGCAGGTCTCATAGGATATTGGAGAGACTGAAGCAAGAACCATGTCACCTGCAAGAGTCTGCATATATGTTATGGTTGTGGACTCCTAACAGTGGGAGTGGTATTGTCTCTGACTCTGTGCCTGATCTTGGGACCCTTTTCCTTCTACTGGGCTTCATTTCCCAGCCTTGATATGAGGTATGAACCCAATCTTATTATAACTTATTGTACCATTTTTGTTTGATATCTCTGGTAAACCTGCTCTTTTCTGAAGGGGCATGAAGGAACAGTTGATCTGGGAAGGTAGGGGAGGTGGGAGGAAAGTACTGGGAGAGAGGATGGAGGAGAAATTTGATAGGGATATATTGTATGACAGAATTTATTAAAAGAAAGAAAAAAGAAGAAAGCTCTTATGTGTCTTTGACTTGGATACCAGTGGAAAATACACATCTTGTAAACAGGCATTCAGCAAAAAAAAGGAAGTATTTTTCAATTAGCAATAATCGTGCCTTGGATAAACCTCATTGGCTATGATACTGCCACTGTGCAAAGCTAAAAGGGGTTATTTTTAATTCTGCTCCTTACTCTTATTAAAGTCCTAAAGTCAGATGAACCTGCCTATGTCTGCTCTGTCTAGAAGTCCCTGTGTGAATAGAATGTGTATTTAATTTAAATTCTTCTGGTATGTGGATGGTTATAAGTTTCTTCATCCTGCCTATAATTCGGGGGAAGTTTATTCCACATCTTTGAGTGGTCAGTCATAACACAAAGCCCTTTCTCACATAGCTGATTAATGAAGTCTCACAAGGCTATTGTTTGGCTTCCTATATTTGAGCCCGCTACTTCTTCTTTACAGATTTTCTAGTAAATTTGCTATTAATGCTGCAAAATGAATTACCTAAAACTCAGAGCATTAAAAATAATATTTATTATTTCATTTTGTGATGGTCAAAAATGTGGTCACCAATTATCTGATGCTTTTCACTCAAAGTTTCCAAGGGTGCATTCAAACTGTTGGCAGAAATTCTGTATCATCTGAGGGATTGAATGGAGAAGTTAGCTTCCAAGCTTTTTTAATGGTTCTTTGCAGACTTTCATCCCAGATACAGAAATGTTCCTTCCACCACACTGACTTATGACATTAACTGGTCTTTCCCAGAGTGATTAAGGCAAAGGAGAATGAAAGAGAGCCTGTGAGATAGATGACATCTTTTTCTGCTCAGTATTGAAGCTGACATCTCAATATGTCATACTGGTTGCATATATTTGAAGTGTCATTAAGTTCAGCCAATACTCCACAGGAGAGTATTTCACAGAATGTAAGTATCAGGAGGCAAGGGGTCATGGGGGCCGGCTAATAGACTTTCTTCTATACCCAGCTATGGGGATAGTTGTAAGTTTCTTCAAGTTAGTAAACTAATCCTCAGTTTCATATAATAAACATCTATATATTCACCAATCTGATATTCAAATTCCTGCCTATAAATAATAATTAGCATCTATTTTTCATCTTGATCATGAAAGACAGATAGAAATGGTACCTAAATTCTACTTCTAGGATTTTTCCAAACATTAAACTATAAATAAAGACATGACTACAATTATTTTTCCACATGTCCTCAGTCAGAACATAGTTGCAGAACTGAGGTAACGAGAGGAGGTGGAGGAATACATAAAATACCCACACATTAGCAAATCTTACAACTTCTAAAATGTGGTTTCACTTTCAACAAATCATAAAACATGTTCTCAGCACCTCATGGAAACCACTGTATTAGCTAAATTACTTCTTTACACAAAGCATTTTCTGCAAAAGCCCCAAAATTCTCTGCAACCACTGAGATTCTAATCTATGTTTATTCTATCCATTGGATCTATAGGGGAACCCAAAACTGTAAGACTATTCCACCTTATCTGAAGGTCAGACAGTCTGAGATTATCTTTGCTTTTTCAAAGTTGTTAACAACAGGTTCAGCTACAAAACAAGCTATCCTGACATAGGGTATGGTTACTTGGTGCTTAGGACATTAAGATGGCCCATAGAGGTAGATCTCTATCACCCTGACCCAAGGTCAGAGAATTCAGTCATAGTTCTGCCCTTTCTTTTGAAATTGGAGGTTTGACTTAGGGAGTGATTGCCTTCAAGTATTGGAGCAAGTAACTATTCTGGTTGTCTTTTGTATCATGTTAAAGAAGTCTTTTGCCTTCTTCCCCCCTTCTGTATTAGGATATAAAAGTGTATGGAATAATAAACACAGGTAAACTCAGTTTGCAGGAGGCACTGAATTGCCCTCCTGATACTATTCTTTGTCTCTATATTTCTTTCTTATCTCTGGTCTCTTCCCTAACATTTCTAATCCCCACACTCCTACCCTGAAACATACAGACCTGCATGGCAAAAGTCACCCCAAATAAAAATGTTACAAGTTTAGCATGTTAAACATAATTTCCATTGCAGGTACAAAAAATAACTATAAAATGTACATAAAAGGAAATGGAAAATAATTTAGCTATTTCACTATAAACAACCAGCCAAGCACAAAAGAAGATAATTATCATTGCACATGAAAAGCAAAACAAAACAAAACAAAAATGTGTAGCTCATTTAGAAACAAAATAGCAAATTTCTTTGTTATTATTAATTAAATATAAATGGGTTAAACTCCATGTTCAAAGGCATATATTTGCAAGATGGGGTTGCAAAGATAGCTTAGCAACCCTAGGTTCTGTGACTCAAATCTACCCTCGTAGCAGGCCATGCTCTGAGCTGTTCTAGTTTCACAGGTCTGAATCCATGCAAGTAGTACAGACACACAGGCGGGCAAAACATCTAATCTGTAATATAAAAAGAGTAAAATAGTTTTTAAAGGACATAGATTAGAATGCTTAAAATTAAATCACAAATTTTCTTCAAATACTCATTTCAGATCCAAAGATACAAATACAGTCATTCATTTGTAATGACAATTTGTGAAATTACTTATATCATGTACCATAGTGCTTGAAATTACCGAGCGTGAGAGAGAATGGATCACGAAACACACAACGAAATCCACATTAAGAGTTTATTAAGAGAAAGGCACGTGCACAGGCCTGAGGAAGTTGGTGCAGGGAGAGACCTTGGACCTGACATGTCTGGCTTTTAAAGGCTGCCTAGCACATGCGCACAGGGTCTTACATAGCTGTATCATCCGTAGGTGGCATGATCATGCCGGGTGTAGGTCATGTGGGGCTTGAGGACTCTGGGTGGCTATGTAATTTGCCCGCACACTTGTTGGCATATGTGTGGCCCTGGAACCCAGAAGTGCCAGACTCAGTCCTGGGTGACAGAAACCATAATAGTATTCCCCTAGGTTTACATCACCAAATGATGTCCTAGCCAATTTCTTTTTATATAAATCAACCATTGATGTTTACCCTGTCATGTTTCTATAAAATAAATATTTACATAAAATTGTGAAACCACACATTTTTCAAAATGTATTTCCATCATTCCGTGAAGATGAAAGGTTAGAAAGATAGTCTATAAACTCTGAAAGAAAGGATGGGTGATTATAATGTCATACAAACTGATTTTAGATAAAAATACAATGAAATAAAAATTGTAATACATATTAGCATCTAATATTAAAAATACAAAATATAATAATTAAAAGCATTTCCATACCTAAGAAGAAACACGTAGAGAAAAACAATGACAAGGTCAGTGGGAGAAGAAGACAGAGAGAACTAAAAACCAGAAGTCTCAGTATTAAGATCATAGTATAAAGTAAATTTCTTGAGACCAATAGATTAACAAAAAAATTTAGAATGAATCTATCATGTCTAGCACAGTATATCACTTATCCCCTACATACAACTAACCATAATATACAACCACTTAGAAAAACCACAAATAACTGGAATTAACAAACTCCTGTCTATAATAACCTCTCTCAGTAATGAAGTGTTAATGGCCTTAACTCATCAATAAAATGCTGCAGACTAGAAGGCTAGGTAAGAAAAGATCCAATTTTCTGTTATGTCCTAGAAACATATCTCTCTAGCAAGTACCACAGATTGAAATTTAAAAGAATGAAAATTAGCTTATCAAGTAAATAGAAAGCCCAAACAATATAATACATTGCTTTCATGTTTGATGAAGTAGATTTAAAACGGTAAAAAGCATGAAAAAGGCAAGTAGATACTGATGAAGAGAAAAATTCATCAAGAATTAACAATGTTAAGTATTTTTGCACCAAAATCTGGGCCTCACAATTTGATAAACACGAGTGAGCATAGAGGGTAACAGAAGTCTCAGACAATGAAAGTCGATGACTTTAACCTCCACTCTCAGTTTTAGATAGGTCATCCAAACTAAAATCCATAACAAAACTCAGCAGATAGTGACAGAATATGCATCTAGGAAGGAAAGAATACATATTAAAGTCATTTTATTAGTATGAGTGTTGTATGCAAGTTTCTGTACCATGTGTGTACCTGGTACCTATGGAAGTCAGAAGAAGGCATCAGGTCCTCCAAAACTGGATTTACAGAACTGCCATATGGGTGCTGGAAATTGAATCCCAGGACCTATGGAAGAACAGCTAATGCTCTTAGTCACTGAATCATTTCTCCAATGGCAGAGAATCTATTATCCTCGGCAGCCTATGGGACTTTCTCTAAAAGAGACCATCTTCCATGTTACAACACAAATATTAACAAACACAAGATAATGAAAATAATTGCTGTATCTCATCAGAACATCGTGGGTTAATACTAGAAATCAGTACAAAGAGAAACCACAGAAGCTTTAGAAATAATTTTTAAAAATTCTTGAATGACCCATGAATCAATGCGTGATTCAGATAGGAAATTTAAAAATTACAGAAGACAGATATAAACATAAAACTACAAGTGTGGTGGTATAAATCAGAAATTCTCTTGTAGCACCATAACTGAACTCTTGGCCTGCAGCTCGTTGCACTGTTTGAGGTTGCTTATGGAGATGGAGCTTTGAGGAAGGAAGTGGGTCATTTGGGGCTGGCTCTGAGGATCTATAGGCCCTTTCTATGTCCATCTCACTGTCTCTGACTCCTGTGTCTGGATGAGAGCCTAATCAGCGAGCTTCCTTTGATGGCCACCTGCAGCTATTCCTCTCCTTCAATTATGAACCCTCTGTCTGGAAGCATAAGGCTAAATAAGCTCTTCCATCTATCAGCTGCAATTGTTCAGCGTATTTTATCACAGCAAAATAAAAATAAATGCAACAACTTACCAGAAATTATGAGTAATATTTGTGTCCATTATCCATACATAAAATATATAACAGATAAATAAGATAATGTTAAAACTCAAGTCTGTAGCAACAGCCAAAAATAATAAGCCAAACACAAAACAGTAGATGATGAAAAATAATATAGATGCTAAAATTAATGAAATGGAGACTAAAATAACAGTAAATAGTCAAATAAACAATTGATCCATTGAAAAACATGACATAGAGAAACCCATAGACAATTCAACTAAATGGGAATACCTAAATTTTAAAAATATTAATGTAAAATGAACATAA